TCACTAAGGTCAACTCTCTTCCAGGCCTACTTTGAGTTCCTTGGTTATCTTGGCTTTACTCAGCATTGTCACCGCTCTATGCCCTGCTTCCTGCTCAACTCTCACACACTCAGTCCAACTTCCGTTTTTGCTCCCTTCTTTGCCATCTAAATTACTCACCTCTAAAGGTGACTTTTGCTCCTGATCCTCCATGATGACGTCATTGAGCTCTTTGGTGCTCATTCTTAGCTGGCTTGGAGCTTGTCGTTCCCTTAACACGACCATGGTTGAAGCTGTGATTCGGTATCTTCCTACCTTATCACCTGGTTCTTAGAGTGTTCTTTCTTTGCACTCTAACCTTCGAACCTTACTGACACCTTCCTTCTTCGCTGATCAGTGAAAATACTCTTGCAGTTTCGACCTGATAGGTCGCTTTTCTGGGATGATTGTTCAGCAGTTGAGAGTAGTTCAAATCCTTTAGTTTGGTTCGGCCCCATGTGAGGTAGTGATGTCCCCTCAATAGGATTCGAAGACTATTCTTCCTTGCCGCAAAGAACACTCCGTGGACGCTAACGATTTATTAAAAAATCTATCTGAAAAAATCTAAAACAAAGGCATTACATCGCTCTCCCAGGAATTCCAATGGGATCACTATCTGACTCCCAATGAGATCGGTTTTTCCGGACCTCTCCCTTGGGTTGTCATCCCCAGGACTACGACCTCTTTGTATCATAGACGACATTTTTATCTCCCTATCTTCATCCGGAGTAATCATTTGCGATGCACGGCTCACCCTTACCGCTCGGGCGGGCATTCCCGCGCAATATGTCCAAACCTAGAACATTGGTAACATTTTTTGCCTTGAGCTGGTTCTCGGTAATCCCGCTCACGCTTCGAAAACCTATGGATTTGTAGTGCTGCGCTGCTTATACCTCTGGGACGAGGCCCTTGCGCTTCGCCTTCTGGGCCTTCCCAGTTTACCGGTCTCTCTAGCGGGGGCACTTCTGACTTGCTCTCCCTGTCACCTTGGTAGCGCGCATATCTGGCCTTTCCATGCCCGAGCGTTGCTCCTATTTTCTGCACATCCTTTTTGATTGCTCCATGCTAATAGCTTAGCGGGCAGAGCTAAAAACATATTTTCCTCAGTGCCACAAGCGATAAGGGAAAGAGGATTTGAGGTGCTAACCCGAGAAATGGCCAGGCTGTTAGCATGCGATTCCACAGCGAGCCGAATGAGGGCCCTAACTGAGCTGAAAAATTCAAGAATAAGGCCAGGGCAGGAGGTAGCAGAATTTTGCGTAGTCCTCGAGAGAATAGGTCCAGGCGAATCCAGATCCACGGCGCACCAGAAAATCAGTCGATGGAGAGCATTCCTCACTCCCACAAGCCCAAATTCTTCTGGATAATTTGAGCAGCTGGCCGGAACATTTCCATTTGCTGGGAACGCTCCATAAGGTAGAGCCCCATAACGCGTACCAGGAAATAAAACAGTTAGCTATCAGCATGGAGCAATCAAAAAGGTTGTACGCAGAAAATAGGAGCAACGCTCGGGCATGGAGAGCCAGACATGCGCAGTACCAAGGTGACAGGAAGAGCAAGTCAGAGGATGTTGTTGGTGTTCATCTGCGTATAAAAAGGAAATAATAAAGTTGGCTACGACCCATGCGCTCACTCCTAAACTCATGCGAGAGAACATTTAAAAATATGTCGAAGTTATCGAAGCTATTATAAACCACATACATATGATAGCTACTGTATTTGCCACTTTTTTGCTGTGCTGCCGTAGCATTTGTAACCCCTCCCAAACTCATGCGAGAGAACATTCAAATGGTCATAACATTCGCACGATTCCTAGTGGAGCAAGCGGACGGTTGCGTTTGTTCTTGGACGTGATTCAATAGAAATGGAATGGTGACCGCTTTTCCTTGCGGCTGAGACCACCTCTTAGGTAGTTGCGCAGGAGAGGCATGTCCCGATGGTGGTTTGAGAACAAGGCAGCATAGTAGTTGAAAGCAGCATTGAATGAACCAAACTATGTGTGTGATGGACTGGAGCGCATTTGTGACATAATAACAAATCAAAAAAACTCAGGTGGAGTGCTCCAACTCTCGTTCAAACGATATTTCCATCGTTATATTGGACATCTGATCGCTAGACTAATGGTGAGCTGTAAATAAGTGCTTTTCCTTCTGTATTTGAAACTTCTGATCAAGCAATTTTTATTGAGATGATGACGCGAAGATTCTTCTTCATTGCGTAGATGCAATGAGAATTCCACAAAGTCACTCAAGTGATTCGAAGAAACAGCGAATATTCATTTCGTCATAAATTCGTCCATTTTCGAATAAGCAGTAACATCCAAATATCAAGCGTGAACCAAGAATATTCATCTGAATGAGTTAGTGAAACAGTATTTAGTCATGATCAAAGAAATTCACCTGAGGAGGAGCGACGTGCCCCGTGGACAGGGTCGAGCAGATGCGTCGGTGAGATGTCCACAGGACCCGAAAAAACGTGGGATTCCACTGGGTGCCCACATCACCTCTGAAGGGAATGCGTATGAAATCCGTGCCTGCTGCGGGTTCAATTACAGGGCCCATTCTCTGATACGAACAAGTACGTCGTGTGCTTGCGCGTGCGTGGAAACCCTGATGTTCTGGGTACCGATCTCCTGCGAATTGAATAGAATGTTAACCGGTTGATGTTCGACAAGGCAATGAGCGACATGTGGGAAGAATATGGCGCGATAGCTGCGAAGGCAAGCATATAATCAAGTTCGCAGCAAAACGACGTTTTTACTAAGCTTCATATTCACCAAGGCATAAAACATAACACGATCTACAATAAAGAATACCTGTAAAGACTACCAGAGGAGGAAAGGTGGACTACGAAAGGTGAACTACGATACAGGACCTGCGCGATCGATGTTTTGCAAAGGCATGATTGTGATAACCCCGAACGATCGGCACTCAGCGGAAAATCTACCATGCTTTGGATGTTGTGATGGTTTAGTAATCAAATAAGTTCTTTTGCCGCTGATGAGATAGAAATTTCAACACTTATCGTATTTCCACAGATACCGACGGGTACTCCCTCCCCCAGGAGGCCCGTCGCGCGAAGTCAGAGGTGAGTGCAACAGAGACTAGTCGCACCGCATACTGTAGTGGTTAGGCGTCTTCAGTATAACGCATTACAGTACGTCCCACATTATTCGATCCACGGCATGGGTTCAAAAATGCGTCTGCAAGCGCTATCATCCCTTCGGCCCGGCGATGTGCCATTGCGTACTGCGAGCTGGTTTTATTCGTCAGTGCAAACGTAATTTTTGGGTCTTATATAAAGAGAAGGAGATTGGTCATGCCGTATGACCAATCTAGTCTTCTCTTTATACGGGACTCTTTATTTTTCTAGGATAAAGCATAAAAGAGCGGTGAAAATGAAAATCGCTCACACACTTTGGAGCCTCTTCTACCCGCCTAAGACTCAGTTCCATTTTTACAGGATGGGAATGTTGAATGCGGTTCCAAACTCGTTACCAACACGATCCCCCCGTATCTTGCGGTAGCACCCTAGACTGTTTATGTTTTATCATAAACGTTATAAGCCACGCTTCGTTTCTGGGAAGTGTTCCCATGTTCTCTGATTCATAGTTCATTTTAAGCCTTGGATATATGCTAGACCTTGAACTTTTGGACTTGGCTCGAAGCAGTCGTCTGCTGAACTTCGCAGATGTTTGCTGCGCTTCGGTTCTTAGCTCTGCCCGCTAAGTGATCGTCGGCTAATATTACGACTAATGTTTCGTCACAGGAAATTACATTTTCATATTTCCTCCTAAAGGAACTCTTGGAAATTTCACCTTTTGACCCTTTATATATGTCATGGCCCTTAGGTAGTTAGTAATTATGAGGTCTTGTAGAAGACGTTATGAGTCATGAATTTCCTGAGGCAAACCCCGCCCACTTTGGTGCATGCTTAGCCCACCAATAGCATTTAACCCCTTTCCCTCCGGCAACCCTTATCCACATTTTTCCCGGTCGCCTAACTTCTAGGAACCGAGTTATGAGAGTGGTGGCAAACTCCGCCCACTTCGGGGTGTGCCACGCCCAGCGTTCACATTCAACCTCTACTCCTCCTCTCACCTCTACAGGTTCTAAGTCATCTCGGAGCCGAATTATGAGGTCTTGTAGAAGACGTTATGAGTCATGAATTTCTGTGGCAAACCCCGCCCACTTTGGTGCATGCTTAGCCCACCAATAGCATTTAACCCCTTTCCCTCCGGCAACCCTTATCCACTTTTTCCCGGGCGCTGGGGCTTCTAGGAACCGAGTTATGAGAGTGGTGGCAAACTCCGCCCACTTCAGGGTTTGCCATGCCCAGCGTTCACATTCAACCAATGAGGTCTTGTAGAAAACGCTGTCCGCTTCACGACACGCTCCGCCCATTGTGGGCGGGCCTCCGTTCACATCATGCGTGCTGGAAATACCTTAGGCATTGCTCCCCTGCACTAATTTCGTTTCTGGTCTGTAGGCTTCTTCTTAAAGCGAGAAATTACGATAAAATTTCTGTGCAGCATGGAAGAACGAGCAGCACTTCAAGCAGTAGCTAGAGCCCAAAGGAATCGAGATGTGGCCTTTTTGTGACTAAAGGTGCGCTCGTTGCAGCGCCCTGGGGCTGCCAATCCTTTCTGAGCTCCGCCTCCGCCTGTGCTCCGCCCCTCAGCAGATCGCTGTTCGATTATCATTCTGATAAGGTATGCCACTTCGAGCGCGTATCCAATTTTTTTCTCATGGAATGCTATATCAATCAAGGTATGATCTCTGGTGGTATGATGGCAGCTATGGTTTAACGAGTGCCGACGACCTCTTAGTTGGTTGCCAACTCGTCCATTATCGGAGGTCAACGGGCAAAGGAAGTGGTCCCATTTTGCGCGTTTTTGACGGATTTCTTTGCTTTTTTCGCTACTAGGGCATTATTCAGCATCTTCACTTCCACTATGAGCACAACAGAATCCTATCGTAATCTCTCGCTTTAACCGAGTTATGAATATTTTCACTGAGCACCGCTTTTTTAGAGAACGCCCCGCCCACCGAGGGTGGGTCTCCTCAGTTCGATCTGGCTTACCAACGCACACCTATGCCCACTTTTGTCCCGGTCTCGAGGCTGTTTTGTGACTGAATTTGAAATCATGGTCCTCAGTACCACTCATTTCGATGCACGCCACGCCCACTGTGGGCGGGGCTCCGCTTAGCTGATGTATGTTTACTTCTCGAGATATGGTACACCCATCCCAAACTTGACCTGGACCCAGTAGGTTGTTGTCCGCTTAATACGGAATTTCGTGACAGACAGACAGACAGACAGACAGACTTAGCGCATTATACAGGGGGGGGCCAATAAAAAAAAGACATTTTGTCTCCACTTCCAGATGGATTTAAGCACACTTTGCTCAACTCAGACCGAGTGTTCCCAACTTAATATTGAAGAGCACATTTCATTCTATAAGAAAATGTTGGCCACCCACGTGGACCTACGCCCACGACTTCGCATCCACCCCGTGGGCCAGATACAAGCACCCCGTATGCATAACATAACACATGGTCGTATTGAAACGGACGGCTGACCCTAGCTGAGCCAGCAGCGAGGTTTCGATTGAATGACAACAGCTCCCTCATGCAGGCAATACTACTGTAAAAGGATTACTCATGTCATTGGCTTACCGCCTTCTCGAGATGCTCTCGTTTTTCATACATTGTCCTGGCCACTCTTTCCTTCTCTGATATTCGTTCCGATCCAAAAAGCTTCATAAGTATAACGTTTCCATATCTGTCTGCATTACGACTCAGGGAACGATAGAACATTCTTCCCTTTGTATCTTCCTCAGCAAAACCTGCGAGCTGTTCATTCCATGTCTGTAAGAAGCATGCTTTCGAATGAGGACATGAAATTCTCACTGATGCATTCAGCTTTCATCAAAAGCTTGAAAAATGCGGCAGATACAGACAAACCGGTGTAGGATAGACGATGGTAGGTTAAATTGTGAGAAGACCAGGGATTCGATGCACTCAATACAGATTCGAACGCAACGATAGTTTGTCTAATTTGCGTCTTTTTTTTCGTACTTTACAAAAAGAAGATTCACCAGATTTTTGTGTAGCTTCTCGCCAAAGGTGCTTGCTATATCCCACATTAGTGGTTGACAACCATTGTTCACTTCATCTGAAAAACCATCCTTCTTCTTTATGAGTGAGATGAGGTGATGTGAGAGCAGTGCCTGTGCTGGTATGAGCATGTGCTGCGGAATCCACAGGATCATTCCATACGGAAAGCGATGGACTTTGAAGCGCAAGGCAAGCGACCGCGAGGAGCCCCAAAGAAGAGGTGAGAGTGATCAAGAAGGATCTAAGTGAAGTCATGGCCACAGCAGAGGACGCCCTGGACAGACTAAAGTGGCGACGACTGACAAAGACAGCGGACCATGCGACTACGCGGGCTAACGCTGGAGAGAAGACGAAGAACGGCTGAGATGAGGTGGATTCGCGTCTAGGGGATGTGGTAACATGTGCAAGTGAGGAACCACGCTCACTCACTTACCATAACTGCACCGGCATTCTCTGGCGCGGACATTCTCCATGAGAAAGCACAGTGCCGCGAGGACGAACAACATTCCGGACATTCGGAACTATGAGTTCTTGGCGGTGCACCCCTATTATATGGGATAGAGCACCTTGAAGGTTTACACACCTGCCTTGTTTGCGCTGAATTCACATCGAAAACGCCGAAAAAGCTGTTTTTCAGTAACCTGCATTACTGTATTAATCTTTGACAGTGTGCTGCAGATGCAATATGCATCTGCATCACACATTTCTGTACCTTGAAGGAACTTGCCATCGAAATCAAATGAGAGCTGATCGAATTCTCGATTTTTGGACGAAATTGCGTTTACACTGACGTCGAAACTTTCTGGCAGGACCACAGTCACCATTTCGACGCACAGGTTGCAGTATGCAATAGGCGGTAAATTCATTTATTGGGCAATTATACTAGCCACTCCAACTTGTTTCCTTCCTTGGCGTGACTACTTTTCTCCAGGTGAACAATACTTCACTCATGGCTAAAAAGTGTTCAACTTGAATTTGCAGATAGAAGTTTTCGTCAAGGCGCGAAATTCGAGTGCTACTGCTCTTACGGGACTGGGAATAGCCGACATAGTGATTCGCTGGTACTTCAAATGAAGTGAATTCAATCTCGAGCTACCTATTCGTTCTCAAGAAGGAATGGTGCACCTCAAAGGTTTACACACCTGCACTGTTTGCACTGAATTCCCATTTTAGACGCCATAAAAGCTGTTGTTCAGCAGCTTGCTTACTGTGTTCGTCTTTGATCGTGCATCTGCAGCACACATTCCTGCAGGAGCTCTCATTAGTGAAGAGAATGAAAGCTGATCAAATTTTCAATATTTTCTTAGCGGAATTGCAAGGGCTTCGACATCGAAATTGTCTTACAGGCGCAAGGGTGGCGCTACAGTCACTTTTGCAACACACACTCACAGATTGCAGTACCCGGCAGGTGAATTCCTTTGTTAGTCAGTACTGGCCTGGCCATTTACCTCCTTTCCCTTGTGTGGCTCCTTTTTTCAGAATGAATAATGCTTCAGTTATGAATGGAATTTTTATAATTTATAATGCTTCGACAAAACGTTTTGCCAAGGCATTTGGGTGCTACTACGATTCCGAGACTGGACTAAAAAAGGACGACTGGAGATTCGCTATGACTTCAAATAAGGTGAATTCAACCTCAAGTTTACTTACTCGGTCTCGAGCTTATATTATTCCATAGGGTGTAGTCTGATTTCTAAGAGCTCTTCTACCGATTCTTACTGGTGGAATCCCCTGTGTCTTCAAAGCAGGGTATAGGCATAGTCACACTGAAGGAATCTCTTCCGTGGATAGAGCTCCTAAATCTACCACTGCAGTGCTCATGCCACTTTCGCCCCACTGAATGCATCACTAAAACGCTACGAATTTAGGATTTGGATTTTCGTACATCTCCGTGGACCTGGCACGCATATCGCTTCAATATTTTATTCTGCTGTGCTCTCTCGGGTAGGAGATCTTCACCTCCTCCGCGACTTTATCTCGTTGTTCGCTTCTTGAATTTCTCCACAGCGCAGCGCAACGAGAAGGGGATCATGTTTTCCTACTTTTTACCGCTTATTTGTCTTACTGCTCACTTGCTGTTCGCAGCTCTACTTTGCAGACGAATAAGATAACCACAACTGCTTTATGCTGTGCGTTGCCTTTAATGCCGCTCAGTTGCAATTGATTTTTGAAAACTTCAATTTTAAGCACAAAAACGAATAAAATTTTGGACCACGTGCATGTAGAACGGGTGGTTTGTAGTCATTACATGGTAAGCGCACTCCAGAGCAGAGTCAACTGCTTATTGCGCAGGGAACAGTGAGGGGGTCGTTTTCGCCAATAGAAGAGGTGGACGGTCGTAATCTCAAGTACCATTCACAAAATTAGAAGCTGCCAAGGCGTGGCTAAGTGGCAAAGGAGGACAGACTTTCAACTGCCACTGCGACTACGCACCACAGACGATTGAATGGCGCATCCTAGAGCGAGATTTCTTACTAAATACGTCATGTTCCAGTGAGCACGAGAAAAAATCTTCCATAGAAACTCCCATGCTTTCAGAACAAATCAAAGTGGAGGAGAGTGCAGCGAATTCGGCAGACGGCAGACGACAGACGTGCCGCATTGTTTTCTTTGTGCATTGTCGAATTTACCTTTTCATCCATCGTACTTGTATCTGCCAGCTCAAAAAAAATTCCAAAGCAATGCCCCTTCATGATCCTGAAGCAAATAAATAACTTCATCTTCTGTTAAGTCTTTCTCAGCAAGCTCTTCGAGTCTTGGTTCCTGTTCCTGTAGAAAAATGGATTTAATGCAAATTTGAAATCTTCGCTTTGCATGCAGCTTTTGTGAAATGCTTGGAAATCACAGCTAACATAATTAAAGGACGAATTCACGCTGGAAAGGCAACCCATTTCAAATTAACCTAGGGATGGTGAGTGGTACACGAAAGAAGGAAAACCATGAGAAACGGCCCAGAACCCGAGAAATGGGACCCCTTCCTTGCCCGTTGATTTGAGCATTGATGCGACTCTCATCGCTGTGCCCTCTTCAACACTACGCTCTCTCAGCTATCTAATCACTCGCCACGTATAGACCTGCGGCG